GGGGGGGGTAGAGCGCTGCGCTAATCGCTATACGGACCAGCGGGCAGGACGCACTCTCGCAAAATTTTCTTATTTTCAGCGTCGGTGTGTCTCTTTTATCGCTATTTTTATTTATGTTGAGTGAATGGTTTGGTCCGGGCGGTGGACTTGATTGAGAGGGAAGAATGATGTGTAACTATTCGTTGCGTATTTTGTTGCAGGGCGGACTGCTCCGTTGGCGAGAAGGACCTTCAAACCACGGACGACTCAAAGAAGCCTGCCAGACACAAAAGCGGCCTATCTCACTTCGGAAAGGTAAGTACGTTCACGGGTAATGTTTCCCCTGTGAAAGGCTGCACTGGATAACCTGTGTCATATATGTACACAAACAAAACATTCAGAATTTCAATCGACGGGAACACTGTCATCACCACTACTAGACCGAACCTAGAAATCGGACGTCATGTTCCCTTGTCGCCCGCTCAAACCACGCCGCCCGCGCCGCACCGCCCAGCCCACCATATCAACTATGCATATCGCATGAATATAAAACGCCGCGGGTGAGGCGAGGAAGAGAAGGAAAACGAGAGCAGGATGGAGAGAACGGCGCTCGCTGCCCGTCGCGGGCGGCCTCTGGTGCGCGCGCCTCCGTTTGGAGGAAATACGCCTGGTGTTTGTGCACGGCCAGATACCCTTGAAAGTGTACACACACTAAGTGAGAAAAGTGAATACCGTGTGTCAGGGTTACGACACAACATTATGCTGCGTGGCCTACTCGCTCTACCGGTAAGGCGCCATGGCCCCTAGGGTGTAGGGTATGCAAACCCGCAACACTGTTACTGTTGTGTCGTCGCCCTTACAAATGGACTTAGTTTGTTTCTTTGTTTTGTCTTTTTGTTTTGTTTTTTGGAAGCACAGAACAGCTTGGCCCAAAATGTGAGCCAAAGACGCGTTTGGCTGGACTCTCCTGTCCAGGAAGTAGTTTCATTTTCGACTAAAGTACTGTTTTTTGCCCTGTGGAACGGATCGGACCGTCGTCGTACCGTAAAGGGAACCTAAGCGTACCGGGCGACAAGAGACGCTCTCCCCTGGGCTTCGGGAGGAAGGGAGAGGGGGGTGGAGCATTGACTCTAGACAACTTCAGCGCTCCGAGTGGCCCGCCCCCGCCCGCTTTGACAACGACGGCGTTTGTTGGCCCAACTGAATGTTTAACAAATGAACGCGCCAGCTTCTACGTGCACGACAAAGTGGTTGGAACTATACGAGATAAATGTGTTTTAGAGTCGTGAATATCCTAACAGTTTGTAACGCAAAAATAGCATCCTCGAAATGTGAGCACCTTGCTTCTTCCCTTCCCTCATTTGATTTTTTATCAAACGCCAGAAAACCGACTTCATTTTTTCCCTCATAATATAAATTAACCACATGCAAGAAAAACTTGGTCGAAACCGAAGGATGGCAGTTTATTTTTTGGCCGTGTTCCGTCGGGGCATAGAATCCTTCTATTTCATTTTTAGCCGAAATGCCGACGGGCGGTCCGTCTGTTGACAAAGTTTCGCAGAGTGTGCAGTTGGCTTTGCTCTCGCGGCGGCGGCTCATGGCGTCGGGTCGACACTCTGGCTGCGCCGGACAAACACAGTAACACAATCAGCTGCACTGCAAAGATGATGGCCGCGCCACGCGCCGCCACGCCGGGGTCAATGTTTACCGCGGGGGCAGCGTCCCCGCCGTATCTGGACGCGGCGGTATGGCTGCAATCCGCAGCCGCCCCAAACCCCGCCCCGCTCGCCCCCCACGCTCCCGTCGGTGTTGAGCATCCTTTGACTCGTTTATTGGACCGCTCGTGCAATTCACTCCGTGATTAGATTCCGCGCTGCTGGCGTTCGCCGCCCACCACCACACCTCCATACACCACCACCTCACCCCCAACCCGCCTCCCACTCATGCTGTGTGGAAACCTTTCGAAAAAACACACAGAAATGGAACCGTTTTCAATGGGGAAAACGTGCGATTAGATATGCATACCATTGCGCCCATACGCGCTCCGCTGCCGCTCGCCCGACGCTCGCCCTTGCTGCCGCTGTCGTTTTCAGGACCCCTTTATCTCTCTCTCTTTCCCTCCCACGCCTCCACCCACCCTCTCACTCCCACCTCGCGACCCGCTCTTTCCTCTCTTCACTGTACTCTGGTGCTATACCAATATCAGTTTCAATTATTCGTCGTGTTTGGCCCACACCAAGTCACGCCCCGCCACAC